TCACCTTTTCGATCGAATTTTAGAGTTATAACTATTTTGAAAAAAGTCTCACGACTAGTTTCGCTGGAAGCAATCATTGTAGAGCAAAACTCTAAGTACAAAAGTTGTTCAGAATCGAATTTCGAAGTCCGTTAAATGTCATTCGGAAACGATGAAAACTTGTCCACTTTATACAATTTAATGTCCTCTATCGAACTAGTCTAGAATCAGCTCTTCATATAAAAAACAGAAGTTTTTATTGAACTTTCAAAATGTGGCAAAAAACCCGAAAAAAAGTTAACAATTTTTTTTTATCAAAAACTACAAGTTCGAAAATCGAAAAATTTGTTAGGATATATACTCCCAAGTATCCTCTATCTCCTGGTGAAAAAAACTGAGTGGGGCTCCCCCATAATATGAAAGTATTCAGTTAATTTAACAAGTCTTGTTGACATTGCTGATAATGGATATTGGAATGTTACATTTAAAAATTGTTTGTAGTCTATTCTTTAGAAGAAATTATTTTGAACTGAAACCGCATTCTGGTTCTCGAGCTAGAACCGAAACAAAGAGAACGGTGGTTCTCGGTTTAAGCTTAGGACCGGAAAAGAGCTTTTCAGGCAGTAACAATTTGACGGAATAGAATCCATTTTATCCGAAAACGAAACCATTTTTTATCTCATATAAAAGAAATTGCGCAGAAGTGTATCTTATAAATCCTAGTATTTTTCATATAACGTTCCACTTTCATATTTCGTAATCAAACACGCAAGGCATTTTTAGCAGAGAAATTTACAGCACCCACTGAAAAAAAATCGGAGAAAATGCCGAGCGATCTCGGGACAAAAATTTCTGCGTTTCGTCTGATAAAAATGGCGTTTTTACCTCGCGAGATCGTTAGCGGGAAAAAACATGCATTTTTATCAGACGAAACAAAGAAATTTTTGTCGCGAGACCTGTTGAGATGGAGATCGTGTGAGATCTCGCGAGATTCTGTAAAAGAATTCTAAAGGGATTTTCTTGCAGCACTTCGCATACATTTTTTTTAGAGAACTGGCGTGGTTGTTTGAAACCAGAGCTAGGCAAAATACTCGAAGTACTCGTACTCGAGTACGATTTTGGTCGTACTCGAAGGGTTGGTACTCGTACTCGAGGTGGTCAGTACTCGATAATCTAATATTTGAAATTCCAGATGAAGTGAGTGTTATTTATGCGAAGAAAGTCGTGAAGAAGATTTACTTTTTTCTAAAAGGCACATCTATCCAGGATTATATCAACTTCCTCTAAAATATCTAACGGTGCCTGCGACATCGGCTTCTATCGAACGCGTTTTCTCACAAAGTGGTTTTCTGATGAGACTCCATCGAGCATCATTAATGGCAAAGAATGTGTGTCTACTAACTTTTCTAGAATGTAACAAAGTTTTACTTTGATTTCATTTACTTGAAGGTTGATAATACAATAAATTAAAAAAATGTTGTAACATTTCGTTTTGTCAATATTTTGTTCTGACCTATATATCAAATAATAAGAGACTAATTAAGAGAATAACTAAAGAGCTATAGGACTTTTTTTCCCACAAATTATTTTAGACATTCATAGTCATACCTGGTTCAATGGTATCTGTATTTAACAAATTGATGCTTGTACTTGTAGTCGTCTCGTACTCGAAGGCTCGGTACTCGTACTCGACTCGTACTCGAAGCATTGGTACTCGTACTCGACTCGTACTCGAAGCATTGGTACTCGTACTCGACTCGTACTTGAGAAATCCCGTACTTGCCCAGCTCTGGTTGTTTGTTGCTATAATTATCGTGAGTGGTAAAGTATTTTTTTGATTTATAAGACGAACATTGTCCTGTTGGACTAACTTGTACTTGTCAATTTAAGATTAAAAGTGCTATTTATATCATTGATTATGCAATGATGATATGTCGCTAAATCTCGCGTGCTCTTTATTATTCTTTTTTGCAAGCTAATTTGGAAACTATCTCCACCAAATATAGCGACTATCTCTATTATACTATTTGAGATATATCTCAAATAGATTTTAGAAAAATTTTACTTTTTGTTTTGTCAATGTATACTAGTTAAGTTGTCATTTATAGCTATCATTTTGCGTAGGTGTATATGCTCGTCATCATGATCATAAATTAACTGAATGATTCAATGAACCTTTGAAATCCTCAAATGGTCATTGATTGTGATCGCGACCATAATCAAGGGAATGAAGAGAATCATATATATCATGCGTTTAATTTTGTTCAACAAAACAATAGAATTTTAACAGAAGTCTTATCCATATAAAGCTCTCGATCAGAGTTTCCGATTGTTCTCCAGGATGGGGCGGGCTAAAAAATTTTCTTCGCAGAAAGTGGCTGGCAAAAAAAAGTTTTCTAAATTTTTGGCAGAAAGTTGCTTGTGGTAAAACGTCAAAGATTTTGCCGAAAAGTCCAAAAATGTTTTTAGGAAGGGGTCAGCTCCCCCCCCCCTGATCGGGAAACCTGCTCTCAATACAAATCGTATGTCAATCAAAAACACTGCACAGAAAAGCAATGACAGTTCCACAGTGTACCTCCATATTGCGAAGATTTATTAAAGTTGTATTTAGAATATCCCGAATCAATAGCGGTTGTATCATATAGCGATAATAAATTATTTCAACATTATAAACATGTTCCTCAAGGCAGTGTGCTTGGGCCTCTTATTTCTTATTTTTATTAATGATCTATTCTATCGCGTCCATCTAATTGTAAAATTTGTCTCTTTGCTGATGATGTTTTTCTGGTTGTTCCTCTTTCCTCTACTGACCCTTCTAATTTTTCTCATGTTCAAAACTGTATAAACTCTGTTTCTCACTGGTCTTCTTCCGATCTCATGTCTTTAAACGTTTCTAAATGTTGTTGGCTTCCTTTCTCTTTCTACCTCTTTCCGTATGTTTATAATCAATCGTATCTCAATGGTGCTCCTCTCTCTGTTGTGTCTTCTGTTCGTTGTCTTGGTGTTCTTGTTTCGCACGATCTTCGGTGAAATGATCATGCTAAGGATATTGCTCTTGCTTGTCGGCGTAAGCCTGGAGCATTGAATCGTGTCTTTGGACTAGCTCCAATTGAGGTTCGGCGTCGAATCTATCTTTCTTCTATTCTTCCTAAAATTGACTATAAAAGTGCCTTGTATGACAGTTCGTTTTCTCTTATTGTTCTTGATTCTGTAAACAAACTTGCTTCTCGTGTTATTTCGCGCAATTTTGACTATCATTCTTCTAGTTCTCTACTTGTGTCTCAACTTTCTCTTCCAAATCTATCTCTTCATCCTAAATACTTTAGATTTCTACAATTTTTCAAAATTTATCATCGTCTAAGTCCTGTTCCTCTTTTTTACACTATTCATCATCCTCACTACTCATTTTTACGTCTTCATCACTCTTAATATGTTAGCATTCCATCTTCTGTTGATGGTTTTTCTTCGCAAACAATGCATTCTTCTTTTTTTTATTCAACTATTGCTGACTAGAATAATCGCCCACAGTCAGTTATTTGTCTTTCTTCTTTAACGTCTTTCAAAACAGCTTTACGTCAGTATCTCTTCCAGTGAAACATTTGCCAGTTAAGAATTTATATTTGGTGTTTTTTGCCTATTTTTTTAAAAAAAATTTTTCTTTTACTATTCTGGTTCTAACCTTAGTTGTCTTCTTTATTTTGTTCTTTTTATTACTCTTTTGGTGTTGTTTGGCTTGAGTCATTGTTATTACAGATCGGTCTTTGATGATTCTCACTTTTTGTGAATAAAACAGTTTTAGTCTTAGTCTTAGTCATGGAATATTATTCATAGAAGATATTGATCACGCATTGTTACTAATCGGATATGGCTATCATAAACAAACAAAACAATCCTGTTGGATAATCCAAACATTTTTCGGGCAAATCAGGGCGAAAATGGTTATTTTTGTCAGATTAGCTAGAATTAAACAAAATATGAGTGGAATCGGTAGTTATACTCTATCCATACATCAAAATAAATTAATGAACAGTAACGACTGTTTTTTGTACAAACTTTTATTTTGAAATGAACCGACTTTTAGAAATGTGTTCAGGTCTTGAATAGCTGCATCTTTTAAAGAAAATGAAGAATGGGGAAAATTTGATACTTTTAATCCGAAAACACTACAAAAATTCTTCCAGATTAAAGAACTTTTAAGTGTCATACGATTCAGTTTTCAAATTAAACTTAAACATTAGATTGATTATGTATTCTATATTATCTCTTAGCTATACGATTATTCAAAAAGAAGCTATTGTGATTTTAACAATAGTACAAGTCTTGACTTGCTATTAAAATCTGCGAAAATCTTAAAAGTAAGTTCACCTGTTAGACAGATTTCTTCCCATATAAAAAAATTCATCAATCATTCTTTCAGGCGTTGCTAACGGCTGTTATTATGTTATATTATTCATTACGTGGTTATACATCTCATGAAGTACATCATTACTAATATATGAGTCATATGCGTTACTATAGGTGCCCATCCAGCCCACTGAGAATCAGTAACAGCGACACGGAGTTGCGATACATTATTTTACGACGATAGTATATTTTTTGCACAGAAGTCAAGTCAAAAATTCTTCCACATTCACATTATACCCACACTTCAGTACTGTATTAACTCCTCTTCAAAGAGGTTTTGTATGAGATCTTTGTTCACAGATGTAATCATCATGGTACGCAATGATCCAATGACGAGTCAGAGCTTGATTACAACACTGACCTAACTTGCATTTTTTTTGTGTTTGTTACTCTGATTTTTCTTGTTGAATGTTATAAGTCCCGTAATAATTATTCTGGGCTAATTTTGACTGTAAAAACGTCTCACTTCCATTTACACATCGTAACCATTTGATTTTTTTTTTCACGTCTGTTTGATCTTAAAAAACGCTACAAAAATTGATCGATATCGTCAACAACGTTCTTTTCACTCCTCTTCGAGTCAACGAGGAGGTGGTGGACGAGATCGAGATAGTGGGATGTCATCATCAACAGCAACAAAAGATGATCAACAACAAATGTTAAATGGAAACAGCCAAAATAATGAAAATATTTTACATGTCAAGTTTTTGTTACCAGGTGCAACTACGGGTTCCGTAATTGGAAAAGGTGGTGAAAGAATCGCTAGTCTACAAAAAGAAACTTCAACAAAAATGAAGATGTCAAAAGCGGGGGTAAGTATTGAGTGTTTGACTATTTCCTACTATAAAGGTTGGGTTTGAATTGCTGAAAAGTGCTTTCTCCTATTCAGCATACTCGATAGCTCAGAAGATTTTCTATTTTTTGCGAGGGGTATTTCCACAAGCTTAGGAAAAATTTTGAAACAAGAGGGCACAAAAAAATTTTCATGGGAAAATAATACTAGTTTCAAAATTTTTCCTAAGCTTGTGGAAATACCCTTCGTAAAGAATCTTCTGGGTTATCGGAGTGTGCTGCACACAAAAAAAGCACTCTTCAGCAACTCAAAACCAACTTTATTTTTTTGTTCCGGTGATATGTTCATGGTTTTTGTTATTCGTCACTACCATTTCGATTGGAAAAACAAATGTTGAGAGGAAATAAGTGTCTTTTGCTAAAATTCTCGCTTAGAACAGGCCCGTGTATTTATAAGCGAAGAAAAACGTGTTACCTGAACACCGATTACTTTGTAATTAGAAGCGGTTTCTTTATTATGATTTCTAGAAGTAAGGAAGAGAATACAGTTGATGAGCTCGAGTCAATAGTCGTACAAAACTGATTTTTCGAGCGTTTAAGTTTTAGAATATTTAGAATAGATTTAATTTCGCTTATATTCTGGAAGAGTAAAACTTTAATCAATATTCTAGTACTCTTATATTTTACACTTTCCGTTTTGGATAATGTCATTGACACTGTTGTCTTTAGGATTATTTTCCCGGTACACAAGAGCGTGTCTGTTTAGTGGTTGGTTCAATACCAAATGTTCTCTCTGTGTATGATTTTGTCGGTGATAAAATAAAAGAAAGTTTTCCGGATGTGTTGAGAAGTCGTCAGGTGAGTTTGTTGTTGTTTTTCTTTCTTGTACATGTATTGAATGCATTTTGCTTCTATTTTAGATAAAATTAGTGATTCCAAATGCCACAGCAGGTGTTATTATTGGCAAAGGAGGACAAACGATTGAAAATATAAAACAAGATACTGGGGCATCGTTGAATATAACACCGAAATGTGATATGGCCGAGAGAGTTATGACTATTATTGGTATGTTTTATACATTTTAGCATGCCATACAAAAGCAGAGAAATAGAATAGGAAACTCATAGGCTCTCATAAGCTTTTATTGTTTCATAAAAGATTTTTTAGTACCATCTCATAATAGATAATTCGTATCTATAAGCATGTAAAGCAGTTACAGTTTGTGCTATGTTTGTCAATCTAGGTGATGAGATAACTCGTCGCAAAACGTTAGAAGTTGTTTTATCCAAAATATTACAAGATCCACATCATGATAGTGTGCCCAGTGTGAATTATTCCTCATCATTTGCATCACAATTAAATTCAAATCAGAATGATCCATCAACAGAAAGCTTTACGGGGCGTACGTAATCGACTGTAACCTTTTCTGAACAACCCCATAGTTCACATAGCTTTCATCATTGTTTCAGCAAGTGGCATTAACGCTAAAATGGGTGCATTAATGTCTGCATCGTCCAATATTACATCTTCTGCGGGAGCAAATGGTGGAACAAGTGCTGGTGCAATTCAACATATATCAGCCTTGTCAAACGTTAGTTTACAGTTGTCCGGTTTACATCGTTTGGCCCAGCTAATTATCTCCGCTGGAGGATCGAACAATATGTCTGTTGATTCATTAAATGTAAATATACAAATCTCTTTCGGTATCAATGGCGTTTTTCCATTGTTACTTGGAGTATTGTTCTCCTTTCAAAAAATATGCTTGGTTAAATATATACAGAAAATTTTTCAGCTGTTTGAGTTTCTTCCTGAAGAAATTTCCTGTTATTGCTTCCGTGCACTAAGCAAGACAAAGTGTCAGTCCATTTTAAAAAATTTCATTGTTACATCGAATTTTCGCTTTAGCATTCACTTCAAAGTCTTGGTTTTCCCGATCAACATGCCGCAGACATCGTTCAAGCAATCGGCACACTAATTAATTTTGGTTTAATAACAATTAATATGGCAACAACAGCAAATCCATTTTCTTCGCCTTTGTTACAATCACCACAACAATTGTTTTCACAAACACAACTTCAAGGATATGCTACGAATATACAGGTGAGACTGTTAGTCACGTTATTAATGTTCATAGAATCCTCAACGTGCTTTTTTCATTTTGAAATTTAGAGAGATCGAAATGATGGTTATTCAGTCGATATGGACTTTAAACGTTTTAAACCCGATCAACGAAAAGCAAAACGTTAATACAACATACTCTGGCAAGAAAAAACGATTATCACATCCATTATTCATGTATTACACAGTAAAAACATAGCTAAAGAAACGACCGTCATTTATTCTGATTTTTTTACTCAAATCTGATTATTTAGACTATTCCTTTTTTTCTCAAGAAAATTGTATATAGAAAAATAAAATATTGTTGTGGAAATGCTGTTTTGGCATGTTGTTGTTGGCTTTAATTGTAAAAGCACAGACACATTGTAAAAAATTTTTGTTGTTCTTTTTTTTAGAAAGAACTGTTTATCTGTACAAAAATTATTGTTGTTGGATTTGTTTTTTGACTATATGAGCGCGTGTGTTCTCTTCTCGTATAAATTATACCAGAATTGTTTGTTTTTAGCTTTTTATCTTCGTTTTGTGTGTGTGTGTGTGTGTGTTTATGCACATGTTTGTTTTTTTACCTGTAATGAGCTTGTATTCTCAAAATTGAATTGTTCTGTTTTTTAAAAGTCATTGGTCTCTGTTCATCTACAGCATTTGTTTGGCTCCTGTGTTTTGCCCAAGTTATCGAGATTTATTCACTTAAGCCTCTTAATATGATAAGGAAGGGTAACGTTTCTGTATATTTCTAACTAATATTGTGGGTTAAAGGCATTAAATAGCGAGCGTCCTTTTTTGTTCTATTGAAATTCGGAAAATACCGTTTCTGAATGAAAAGCAGTGAGACGATAGATCTGACTTAGAGACTGTTTTTGTTTTCATTTTTTGAATGTTTTTTCTTCTGCTGTTATTTCACGTTCTTTTTTTTACTACTTGTCTGTACACTTTTTTCTGCGCGTGTATGCAGCACTTTTCTATATCTCTCTATTACAGAAAAAACAATATCTATAATCAGAAAACACAATATAGTAACTAATTTTTCTTCTCGTTTTATTTTTAAATCTGCATCATATTTTTAGACAAAAATTTCTAAAAAGAAATTTTCGGAAATACTGTTGGATATCACAGCAGTATAAAACTCCTTTTCAAAAAATGATGAGTGCGTGAGAACAATTTAGGATTGAAATTCTTAAAATGGTAAAAGTAGATCACCAACAGTTCTCAACAAGGTTTATTTTTCATATTGTAAGTTCTGTAAGGTAAATTCTATTATACACGTATACAGTACCTTATGTAAATCTATTGCTTGTTAGAGAGACTACTCAAATTAAAAAAATGAATTCACATTACGAAACCATCATGTGTAACGGTATTTCATCATGTTTATTATCGAAAAAAAGGACTGAATCACTAGCCTAAAACGAATAAGTTACACTTAAGTTCATAATATGAACAATGAGGTAAGATAAAGTATTTCTAATAAATTATTGTTCATTATGGTCTACACTATAAATAAAAATAACTTGGGCTAACTTGTCAAATTGTGTTTTCAAATTCACACATTTTCTCTTAAATTGTTTTGAGATATCTGTCATGAAAAAACAAAAGTTGAAATAGGAAGTTTTCAAAACTAAACTTATAACAATTTAACAACATATATTAACAATTTATTTATTTTATTCGTACTTTTACTGTATTTTTTAAAATATAGCAGAAGAATTATTCTTAAAAAATCTCACAATTTCTAATCATTGCTCGTGTGAAGTAAAGAGTGTTAAATGAAAATAGACGCTCTAAATATTCTTATTTTAAAACGTCAATTGTTGTTTATTGTACTATGATAAAAATAAACAAAAAAATTAATTTATCGAATCAAATAAATTATTGTATGATAATTCTTTCTCTACATTTATTTCACCATCAAATAGTATCGATTGTTTTTTGAATAAATCGAAAACGAAATTGTGAGAGATAATGAGTCTCACCATTTTCTAGAGACATATTTACTGCATCTTTTAATGTGTAAAGAATTCTTAAAATTGAATTGTCAGATGGTGAGAGAAAAAAGAAGTCACCTGATATCAAAGCCAACATTAAATTTTAACTTAAATTAAACGGTTAAATGGTCCGAAGTGTTCATCAAGAAAATAGCGCAAAGTAAAGTTCGTTAGCTACTATAGTTCTTAGACAGTATAGATTTTACTGAAATCTACCTATCTCAGTCCAGTTAGCTCTTACAATTTTAAAAATAACTTCAAACATAGGTTTTCGATCATGTCGAGTCTCGAGGCAATATTTGTTTTCAAAAGAAAATTCAAGACTTTAGTGAGCATCTATAGTAAATAAAAGAATCCATTAGTCCACACAAAGATATATCCTAACTTTAGAAGAAGAGAAATATTTTGTTTCACAATTCATTTATTTCTTACTTTAGTTGCTAGATTTTATTTGTTTGAGCTTGAGCGTATCATGTGATGGCTTTCACTCCTTTATATCCACTTTTTTATATCATTGGAAATTTTATCCAACATCTTAAATATTTTTTATTTAAAAAGTTGGATTGATAAATTTAAGGAATATCAGCATAACGTTTGAATCTAATTTGATTTATCACACTATAGAAAAAATCACAGAAAAGCCGGTTTTCTTTTTCATTTTTAACTACATAGAAAGAAATAATAATAAAAAGTATGAAAAAACCAGTCATGTCATTTGACAACATCATTTTATCCTAGTGTGCTAATTGCTTAATAAATTTATTTTCTTTTAGCAAATTCATTTTCGATTATTTGTTTACAATCTTCGACATCTCTATCGACTGTTACTGCATGACAATCTTTCCCTACAAAAAACAAACAATTTTAGGACAGATAAGAGAATTAAATCAGTTTTACCTTCATTATTTTTTATTGTGATATCAGCACCAGCATTTATCAATGCTGTAAGAATTCGTGGTTTATTGAAGAAACAAGCGATCATTGCCGGTGTGTTCATTTTTGAATCTTGAATATTGACATTAATACCTTGACCAAGTAATAATTCAACACATTCTGGACTATCAATCATACCTACAATTAATATTTATTTGATAAATATGAATTTACCGATGATTTTATGACTATTACCAGCAGCAGCAAAATGTAAAACTGTTCCACCGTGTTCATTTCGAACATCAATTTTTGTCTCTTTATTATTCAATAAAAGTCTAGAAAAATAATAAGATGAAAGATAAATATTTTCTCTCTTATATTATAACTAATTTTCTGTCTTATATTCAAAATAATCTTGCTACAAAGAATGAAAGATGCTTACTTTAAGATTTTACTTTGTCCATTTCTGGCTGCAATAACTAATGCTGTATCTCCCTCCAAAGCAATATTTGGATTTGCTTTTTCTTCCAATAAAGCTTGCGTGCAATCGACATGATTATGAATAACAGCCCTATTGAAAAAAAGTAAAACGGATCGAAAGTAATTTTTCTCGTTAAATATTAAGTTAAACTTACTTATGGATTGATGCCATATTATGTTTATCTAAATGATTGACATCGGCACCTTTTTTAACCATTAGATGAATTAAATCAGCACGATCCTTTTCCTTTATTAGATAAACTCTTTAAACAAATTTCCGAGATAAAGGGTATGAGAACTAGCTGGCTTACCGTCAATGTTTGTCCTTTATAAGGAGCATCGCATAAGACATGAATGGGAGTCAAATTATGTTCACTTTCAGTTTGATTTGGATCAGCCTTATTCTGTGAAACGATGAAACATTCGTCATAAATTACTCATAAAAGTACACATATCCCACTTGGATATTAGAGTTTCAACTTACATCGAGAAGAAATTTGATTAAATCAAGATCACCTTCAAAACAAGCAATGATGAGCGGTGTCACTTTTGCTTTTGGCTCTCCGGTTTGTTCATGTAAAATGTCGTATTGAGCATTTACAGCTAAATGTAGAAATAATGTGTATTAAAAGTACATATAATCACCAGAATTTCTCAGTTACTTACTTGTTCCACCATCAACTAAATCTTTTAATTTAGCAATTCGTGCCCGTCCATCTCCTTTCGTATTCCAAATTGTTAGAAGTACAGGATGATGTTTATCTTTAAATGGATGCTGAATTTGTGCGCTGAATTAATAAACAACTAAATGACCTCTTTCAAGTACTATATAAGTTTTTGTATCTCCGACATGAACAGTCTAATTTTTATAGTTTTGATTGAATAAAATCTCAAAGATGAAGATCGTTAAAGAGACTTACGCATATGCCCGAGATACGCACCTCATAGTTTAAGTTATTAGTATTGATGATATACTCGATGCTTGTTATAATAAAAGCAATGGTAATGAATGCAGTGAAAGTAAAGCAAGGCGTCTTCTTTTCTATGGTTATTTAACCAATACAGGTAAGTAGGGGGAAATTGCTTTCGTAAAAAATAATAACATAGCACGTGTATACCGGCTTGACCTTCCATCGATTGATGGCTAAATATTACTTTTCTTTATCCCTGTCTTTACTGGAAGCACATACACACATGACATATGTACAAATGTAGGCTTTGAGTCGAACATTACTAAACATTCGAGAACGCTCGCTATTTTTATATATATATTGTTTTATTAACGCGTCAATGTTTTTCATTACTAATAACTATTATTGTTCCATAAGATTATCAAATAAACGTTTTAGACTTAAGAATGCTGTCACTCTATTAAAAATGATTCAAAAGCTAAAAGCGAATACATTCTTGTGTTATCTAGAAATTTTTTTTATTGTCAAACCTCCATTAGTTCTCGTTGAACACCTTACTCATCGTTTTTTCGTTTTCCCATTTGACTTACATAACGAACTTACTATAATTCTATTAGTAATTGGATTTCATCACTTGATCTTGAATTACTCCTTCTTTAACCAGTGAAGAGGAAAGAAGGTTAGTTAAAAATCAATGACAAACATTCACATATTTTGATATCAATTCTACCAAGCTGATCAATTGTTTGTCACTATCTTACAGTCTAAAATTGAATGAAGTCTTACTCACTTTCAACAACGTTGAAGATGCAGTCATTTCAGAGGATTTTATTTTTTTTGACATTTAATATGATCCATACAAATAGATATTGAAACATTCACTAACTTAGAGTCGACTATAAAAACAACATCAATAACAGGACTTTTTTATTATTTCTTTAGAATATAAATAAAAGATGTAAAAGGATAAGCGTATGTCAGACTAATACTGATTAATAAAAATGTTTATTTTGATTTATTTATTTCTTCTAGTGCTTGGGAAACCTTTTGAAAATCTGGTATTTTTGATGCATCCGCTAATATTTCGATATGACGAATAACCCCTTGTTGATCGACGACAAATGCTGATCGTTTTGTAACACCTTTCATATTAAAGGCTGGAAATTCCTCGTATAATGAATCATAGGCACGTGCTGTATCCTTGTTAAAATCCGATAGCAGATCAAAAGGTAACTTTTGCTCTTCTTTAAATTTTTCCAATGTAAACAAGGAATCAACCGATATAGCGACAATAGTTGCCTTTAATTTTGAGTATTTGGCAATATCATCGCGTGCTGAACATAGCTCTTGTGTACATGTACCTGTGAATGCCAGAGGAAAAAATAAAATGACGACATTTGATTTGGACGTTAAATCTGTTAAGCTAATTTCTTGTTTTTGAGTGTTGAATAATTTAAATTCTGGCGCTTTTGAACCAACGGAAACTTTTGATGATGCCATATTTTTAGAACTAAATTACAAAACCATTAATAGCTCTTGATTGGATGATGAATATCGTATCCTAGTTCATAGTATCAAATCAGATATAAATAACAGTAGGTGCAAGGTAACAACAGTAACTACTACTACACTGTACGTATAGTTGTTCTACATGGTCTGCCGTATTGCTTGTTGTTTTTTTATTTTTGTTCTTTCATTTCATGGATATCTAATATATATACTCGCCTATAGATACTTTTAAATCAACGGTATCCTGTTTTATCTGTAAGTAGAGTCATCTATTCTTTAACCGTTCAATACGTAATATTGTTTAACCAATAATTTCTTTTCACTGTTTTATTATATATCTACGTATATACACACTTTTCACTAGGGGTGCGCTTAATGGTGGTGACTATTTTTACTGCACAAGTCGACAATCTTGAGATTATTTCTGACGGAATCTTGATTTCAGTACTTTCTTCCTGAGAAATGCATTTTTTTCAGATTTTCAGTCAGAATCTGATGGTGTGTAGTCATACGACCATGGCTCGTACAATCAAAAGCCAGTTGGGTACTCACCAATACACGTGAAATTAAAAAAAAGACTCATTTTTGCGGGACTTATTCTAGTACATATTATAGACTTTTTTTATATCAAGACTTTTTATAATGTATATTCAGAGTTCTCCAGCCAGAAGCCGTTACTGAGGTATCAGTGTTTTTCAAACAATCTCCTTATTCAGACCAGAATGAACTGATCTTGATTTCTTACCATGAATCTTGAAAAATTTTTCAGATCAGGTTATTCTAATCTGAATCTTATTATTGATTGTACAGGGTCAGAATCTGATAAGATTGACCTGAAATCAAGATTCTGTCAGAAATGATCTCAAGATTGTCGACTTGTGTGACCGACTGACTTTACCGACCAAATTTGATTGGTCTATCCCATGGTTACACCAATCAAATTTGGTCAGTAAGGTCGGTCGGTCAGTAAAAATAGTCACCACCTGCTTAATCTGTAGAAGTACCGTTTTTTTATTATTATATTAGCAATAGTCTTTTTCTCGCTTTAGTAATGTGCTAATAGAATGCTCAGGGCCAGGTTGGATGGACGCCAATGTCACTCTAGTGGATGACTTTCCCTTTTCCCAGTCTCTCTATCATAAATACATTAAAATTCAATGTCTCTCATTTCGTCCTGCAAAACAGCTATAAAGTCTACTTAAAGTTCACCTTATTCTTTGTGAAATAGTATAAAGCACACGTGAGAAAAAATTAAATAAAGAACTTATAATTGAGTCATTTTGTAAGGTGAAGAATTTCAATATAGATAATAAGAGATACACAACCTTTTTCATCATGAAAATCGACTATTGTCTGTTTGAGACGTTTCGTCTTTATTAAAAAGAGATGCTCAGGG